AAAATTTCAAGTATTTACAGTGATTAGTTTTTGAATTACAACCATATAAAAAATCGATTTGGTCGAAAACTTATTTTGCGTAAAAATTCCTGTTTTTCTGTCAATTTTTTTTTGTTTTTATCGATTTTTTTGAAAACTGTTGGAAAATGTTTAAAATGTTTACTTTTACAAAATTTCTTATGGCCGTAAATAGTTTAAAAAAAGGTTTAAAGATTTTAAAAATTTTAGGATGTATAAGCAATTCTAATGTAAACATTTATCTACGGTTATTTTTCATACCAAAAACAAAATTGTTTTTTCCCAACGATTTTGAAAGCTACTGATGATTCTAAATTTTTATCCCTCGAATGCACCAACTAGATCCACTTACCCATCAGAAAAGATACTGATGTTGAAAATCGAAGCGTAATAATTAAACTACCCATTCATTGTGCATGGATAAAAAACAAATATACATCGTTGTATAATCAATACATTCATCGTTCCACTCAGAATCTAAAAGTAGTACATAAAATACAGAATAATCAAATCTGATTGTTATCGTCATAGCTGAAGTAAATATTTAATAGTAATTAGCATCTACCAACCTCTTCTCTTAATATTAATTATAAAATAATTAGTTTAATTTCTATAGACATTAAATGATTAAACTGTGATTAATTGTAGTCTATCTAAGTATTAATTTTTATTTAAATTTTTATTTCTAAATATAACAGGAGAAGGTTGTCCCATTCAGGATCTTGTACCTCATGGAAGATTAGATGTTCTCTATCAAGGTGCTAAATTAGAAGTAATATGTGATGTTGGATATACAATAGATGGTCCAAGTTATGTTTATTGCAATGAAGATTTGGAATGGAATGAAGAATTAAAAGGATGTAAAGGTGAGCAAACTTGTGTGTACTTAATATTAGTATTTACCTAAACACATCCCAACTTAAAACTTGTATACATTACTATACAATGTATATTAATATATTATGCCATTATGTGTAACAAATATTATTGATTAATCCAATATTAAATTGTTTTGAACAGAACATGATCAAATATTTTTATCCTGTGATTTTGAATCGTCAGATGAAAGATTTTGTGGTTGGAAAAACGATATTTTTAATGATGTTGATTGGTTGGCTGATAAAATGACGTTCATTTTGTTTACTACCAGACGTCACGTACCGCCCGGATCTTCTCAGTATTTTAAAAGTCAGTAGGAATATGACTAGTTTGAACAAAATGTAAGAATCTTTTTATCAGGTAATTATATATCTTTGGATGCTGGAAATTACGGTTCTACTACTACAGGAAAATTATTATCACCAACACTTCTCCCAGTTAAAAATAAACAAAGGTGTTTGATATTCGCTTATCGAGTAATGTCAGGAAATTCAAACGGTATTCCTATTCTAAAAGTCACTTTTGGTGGCATACCTCACTGGGAATCTCACGAAGGAGAAGGAAGAGTTATAATTGGGTTGTATCAATTTAATATTACAACTAGAGTGGGTAGATTCAAATTGTATTTTTTAAATAGTATGTTTAATATTATTATTTTGTAGATCGTAATTGAAGGGAAAAGTTGTAAAGCAGCCATTGATAATATAATTATTACAGAAGGCGATAGTTGTAATAATTCACCGTACGAAGAAGGTATATTTATGGTATCTATAATGATTTATAGCTATTCAACTTAAATTTTGAATTAGCCAAACATAAATTTACAATATAATCATAACAAGTAATATTTAATTGTTTATAGAGACAAACAGTTGTCATGATAATTGTGGAAAAATAACGTCCGGTAGGTGTTCATGCGATTGGGATTGTTTTAATAATAACAACTGCTGCCCAGAYATACAAATCAAATGTCCGTATAGTGAGTATTAACTGCGTTTCATTTGTATCCTTATCAGTGGTGCCCACAGGTTTTCTATAAACCAGTTTAGTTATATTCGAGCCCCTAAATTTATTTAATTTATATGGTTATATTAGTTATATCTTATATACTTGCTTACATATTTCACACTGCGTCACTGCTAACAGTTAACGTTTCATCCAACGATTTAATGATCCAGATGAGTAGTTATGCATTTATAGTGTTTATTTTAAATTTGGCCCCGGTTCCTGAGACCCACATAGAATCAGTACAATTGAGCTACCCTACGTGGGCACCACTGTCCTTATTATTATGTATTCATTAATATAACATTTGTTAATTTACAGTAGTTTCAATGGATAATATCACTAGATTATACTTAACTACTGCAACTACTGTCACAAAAACCACGGTKACGACTACAGCAAAAAATACATTTTTAAATGTAACTGGAAAGAATATAACGTCTTCTAGTYCCGTAATAACAACTCCCAAAAACGGACAAAATKATACGATTATAGTTGAGAATATCACCACAGCAAGTACTGATAAACCTTCGAACATCACATCTACATTTGCATCCGCATCTATGACGAATTTAATAACGAAACCCATGGCTGTATCAATCCCATTGACAACAACGTCYACTGAAGTTCCAAAAAGTACTTTATTTGTGAATTCYACGACTTCTCGTTCCATCAACCCCCATGTAATAATCACGAGTCCTAATGTCTCATCGATTATTCCAAAAATAGTGATGGACATTCAAAATAATAATTCAAAAATAATCAGTACACCTTTAATGACGATAATCCCTAATATCTCTAGCTCAACAATCGAACCTGTTACAATAAACAAAACTTTGGCTACCAAAAAGTTAAATATTACACTTGCGCCTACTGTGATCACTAAATCTTTGATGGTAAATACCACTGTTTCTATGACTACGRCATTTCCTAATATTTCTAGCTTATATTCCAGACTAGATAAACTGAATCCTTCTATGAAGGTTGTTATTATTCCTACTACAATTACTAAATCTGTAGTGGAGAATACTCCTTTAGTGACTTCAACGTTAGTTCATTCGTCTAACTCAACCGTTAAATCACTTGACGTGAATTCAACACTGTCTACCGGAAAACAATTCAATTCATCTAGTACAACGGCTAAAAGTATAACTGTCAATTCCACATCCACTACAGCATTAATTAATAACTCTAATAAATTACCAATTAAACCAATAAGTATACTKGCAAACAGTGGTGAACAGTTGAGTAATAAATCACTTAATACTCAACAAACCAAACAGAATACGATAATTAACGAAAATAAAACAACGATAAATAATTTAACGACTCTTATACCGAGTACTGTCAAATATTTAAACGGCTCCATTGTTYCTGTAAAAAAAATGGTCGTTTTCGACATCTCTGATTCAAATCCTAACCTAAAACAATTTGAATACAATCGAACTTTAAGCAACAAAGATCTCCTTAATATAACAACCGAATCTTATRATATTTTGGATCTTATAAATGCTAGTATGCCCATTAAAAATGAAAATCAAACAAAAGTTTTAAAAGTTCACGAGAAATCAGATTTAAGCAAGTTATTTCATAACCGTTCATCGAAAAACATTGACAATCGGTTGGCAGAGCACGTGAAACAAAATGGTAAGTTAAAGCGAAAAAAATTTAATTTTTAATAAATGGTACTATAATGATAAATAATATGTAAATAATAAATAAATAAACCTATGTGTTGATATTATTATAAAATAATTTTTAATTTAAAACGTGTTTTTAACTTGTATGTTACAGCAAATGCGAAATCTTCTTACACAATATTTAATACCATTACCATTATTAAATACATCGTTGCACTCGGTGTCGTACTTCTYACATTCAAGTTCACTTTGTCTTTTATATTGTTGCGTTTCAATAAAACTTCCAGTGATGAAATGGACGAACGCTTTATTGGAACAGATAATGAAAGTTCTTGTAACATGGAACTGACTAGTAATCACAAGGAATGAATCACTTATGTTTTTAAGTTTATTGATCGATTATTTTAATACATAATGATGTAAAGTTTATCTCAAATTAATAAATTGTGTTTAATATTTGACTAATATATATACAGTGAATTAATTTTTAGATGTACATAAAGTAATTCACTGTAAAAATGATAAATTATTAATGTYTTGAATTGGTCGATGAACTTTTTTTTTGTTATTGACGTTATTAGTGATTTTATGTGGTTTTTTGTGTGTCCAAACACCGAAGAAGTATACTATTTCAACAATACTTAACAGGCTCACTCCAAGAAATAGACCTAAAGTTCCTCCGATTGATACTATATTGAACAAATCATTAATTACGTATAAATCATTATTTTAAATAGTTTATTTTTTATAACTTACCAATGAGATCCATACGAGATCTTACTACATTTCTTTTAAGTCTCTCATTTGGTAGTCTATCTAATGCGATAATTACTTTTGATCCATATTTAACACCTTCGTTATCTTGCTCTTCACTAGTTAATCTAACAGTATATTGAAAGTTTTTTAACATAAATGTTATAATACATTATATTATAGTTAAATTTTGTACTTACGAGCCAATTTCTTTACTTAAAACATTATATTCTGGTTCAGTACAACTAGATATACAATTACACACCAACCCC